ACTTCAGATGATCCGCCTGCCTCAGCCTTCCAAAGTGCTGGGATTACAGGCATGAGCCACCTCGGCTGGCCTGTTTCTTCTTTTTCCATGTAATTAAAAATGCCATTAAATGGTTCAAAACCCTAAAAGATATTTATTGTCTGGTTCACATCAAGAGGGTGCAGAGTCGTTTTGGGAGCTCTGAGGGAGCCTGGGAACCTGCTCAGTGTTCCCAGTGACCCCTTGTCTGTGGCTGAAGGATGCATGGTAGTGACTTGCAGGGAGAAGAGCCTCTGAAGGCTTGAGTGCCCGCTGGCCCTCCAGAGTCCAGCTCATATTTGTCTTTGGCACTGCCCTCTACTCCATGACGTTGTATAATCCTTAAATAACCGCACACCTAATCCCCTCTGATAAGAGGAATTGCTCAACATTTTCAACTGTCCTGTGGTTCTGTACTGCCCGACCCATGTCGAACCTAAAGGCAGAGACCTAAGGGGGCTGTTAGTCACAGGTCACCTCTGCCTCTAAGGTACATTGCTCTCCCGAGCCCGCCCAGCATGGCTCAGCTTCCTTATGGGCTATCTGTTCTGTTGGAAATGCTGGCTTTAATCCCATGGCGATGTTGGAGCAGCTTCTTCCCTACAGGCCTGTGAAATCAAGCCTAACTCTGGGTTTTATTTTTCTCTTTATTTATTTTTATAAAAGCCTTATTGGGCCGGGCGCGGTGGCTCAAGCCTGTAATCCCAGCACTTTGGAAGGCCGAGGCGGGTGGATCACGAGGTCAAGAGATCGAGACCATCCTGGTCAACATGGTGAAACCCCGTCTCTACTAAAAATACAAAAAATTAGCTGGGCATGGTGGCGCGTGCCTGTAATCCCAGCTACTGAGGAGGTTGAGGCAGGAGAATTGCCTGAACCCAGGAGGCGGAGGTTGCGGTGAGCCGAGATCGCGCCATTGCACTCCAGCCTGGGTAACAAAAGCAAGACTCCGTCTCCTAAAAAAAAAAAAAAAAAAAAAAAAAAAAAGCCTTATTGAGGCCAGGCGTGGTGGCGCGCGCCTGTAATCCAAGCACTTTGGAGGCCAAGGCAGGCGGCTCATCTGAGGTCTGGACTTCAAGGCCAGCTTGACCAACATGGTGAAACCCTGTCTTAAAAAAAAAAAAGCCTATTGAGATATAACTCACATACCATAAAATTCACCTGTTTAAAGTACCTAAGGGCATGATTTTTTTTTTTTTT